TGCCATTGTAGTAATAGTAATAGTTGTAGTAGTAGCAGTTGTGGTAGTAGTAGTAAGTAGTAGTAGCAATAGCAGTAGCAGCATAGGTAGTTGTAGTGGTAGTAATACTTGTGGTGCTTACAGTAATCGTATTGATAGTAACAGTGCTTGTTATTGTAGCTGTAGTTGTTGTAGTAATAGTAATAGTAGTCGTAGTGTTTGTTGTAATCGTATTAGTTGTAGTTGTTCCAGTTGTCAAAGAGCCAGGAGTAGTAGTAGTAGAAGTAGTAATAGTAGTAGTTGTAGAAGTAACGGTGGTAGTTGTTGTGATTGTTTCAGTAACAGTAGCGTTAATATCACTGTAATAACGATAGCAGTAGTGTCTTCATGTCACCCGGGCTTAGCATGACCAGTAGTCCATACGTGAAATGAATATTTAAAGAACATCTTTAAATATTTAGAAATAAAATCGAAAACATAAATCACGGAGCTCTCACGCCATGACTCTTTCACAACTTCGGGACCAACGAGCCTTGAAGTCACGTCAGAGAGGAAAAAAACAACCAAGGAATCGTGTAGTCAGCTGTTTGGAAGAGATGTCAGCTGTTTGGGTGAGATGTCAGCTGTTTGGAAGAGATGTCAGCTGTCGTTCCTATGAGATCGGAGCGGAATTCGATCATTAAGGTCTTGGAATGACTTTATTTTTTTGTCTTTGTTCCTGTTTCTGTCTGTCTGGCTGTCTGCCTCTGTTCCTGTCTCTGTTTCTGTCTGTCCGTATTTTTGTTTGCCTGTCTACCTGTCTGTCCGTCTCTGCCTGCTTGTCTCTATATCTGTCTCTGTTTATGTCTACTTGTCTGTCTGTCTCTCTCTCTCTCTCTCTCTCTCTCTCTCTCTCTCTCTCTCTCTCTCTCTCTCTCTCTCTCTTCTCTCTCTCTCTCTCTCTCTACACACACACACACACACACACACACACACACACACACACACACACACACACACACACACACACACACACACACACACACACACACACACACACACACACACACACACATACGTACATGCACACGGACACGCACACACACACACACACACGCACACACACACATACACACACACACGCGATAATATCAATAATGATGATAGTAATGATAGCAGTAATAATGACAAGAACAACATTAATGATAAGAGTAATCCAAAGCTATAAGTGAGAAAACTATAACAGCTATAACCTAAAGCCCTTATGACGGGATCGCCCATACGCTTATTAAGGGCAGACAGTAACTGGTGGTTCTCAGGTGCGAATTACAGGGTGGCTTTCCTCTACACCCTCAGAGACAAACCAAGTTGCTCATCCGCCTACAGGTTTCGTCGTTGAAGAACACGTGTGTGGAATTCATGATGAACAGATTGCAGCAGGAACAACGAAGGGAAGGGCAAGAAAACACACGAATATGCTGAAGGCCTTTTCGCTAATCCGAAAAGCGAAAAGGCCTTCGGCATATTCGTGTGTTTTCTTGTCCTTCCCTTCGTTGTTCCTGTTACCACCTACAGGCATACCGCTCAGCACGGTAAATATATATGAATGTGTGCATACAAACATGTATATATATATATATATATATATATATATATATATATATATATATATATATATATATATATATATATATATATATATATATATATATATATATATATATAGGGGTGGCCAACCAGTCGATCACATGCCTGTTTTAAGTCGATAACACTATTGTACAAGTGTAATAGTTACTGCAAAAAATATTCTCTCTCTCTCTCTCTCTCTCTCTCTCTCTCTCTCTCTCTCTCTCTCTCTCTCTCTCTCTCTCTCTCTCTCTCTCTCTCTCTCTCTCTCTCTCTCTCTCTCTTCTCTATTCTCTCTCTCTTCTCTCTCTCTCTCTCTCTCTCTCTCTCTCTCTCTCTCTCTCTCTCTCTCTCTCTCTCTCTCTCTCTCTCTCTCTCTCTCTCTCTCTCTCTCTCTATTTCGAGTGGGAGTAAGATGTTACACTGTTACAGTTACATTTATGGAATATGTTTGAATCTTATGCTGGTAGATCGCATCAGGGTAACTGTAGAAAATGTAGATCATATCCCACAAAAGAAATGATAACAAGAATGATAATGATAATGATGATAATAATAAAAATAGTAATAGTTATGATAATTATGATAATCATTATTGTCATTATCATCATTAGTAGTAGTAGTAGTATCATGATCATTATTATTACAGTTATTATTATTACAATTATCATTATCATCATCATTATCCGTTTTCTGATTATAGTTGTTTTTATTATTATCATTGATACTATTACTAACATCAGTATCACCGTCGTCATTATCACCATTATCATTATCATTATTATTACTGTTACTAATGTTATCATCACTATTAGCATCTTGGTTTTCATTATCACCATTACTATCATTAAAATTACTGTCATCGTCGCCATTATAATCATTATCATCATCATCATCATTGATAAATATCATTAAGATTAACATTATCATTATTGACATTATAATCATTATCATTATCACTACTATCATTGTTATCATTACTATTATTATCATTGCCATCATTATCATCATCATTATTGATATTATTATTGTTAAAACATTGTTATCATTATTGTTATTACTATCGCTGTTACTATTATAATTACTGTAATTACTAACATTATTACTATCATCATCATTATCATTATTGTTAAAAGTTTAAATGTTATCATGATCATAATCAATATCAACTAGAGGAGTCATTCAACACAATCAAAATAATTCCAAAGAGGAAATATATGAATCATATACAAAATAATGATCTAAATGCCTAGATCCGAAAATATTTTCTGTAAAGTGATATTTTCCTGAACGATATTTGATAAATAAGGAAAAAATATAGGCTCGTAGATAGGAAAGTGAAAGATTGATATTTACGTATCACATAATATGAAAAAATATAGCTTATAAATCTACAAGAAAACACTCTTTTAAAATATTTTGCTTGTGTAATATCATTTATATATTTCAAAATACTATTGAATATTCTAAATTGTCTTAAAAATCTATTTTAGATATCAATTAATGATAAATAAACATCACAATCCGGAGTTAAAATCCCGAGTGTGTTTTGTCGTCTGAAGGAAAAGCCGTAAACCCTGATAGCACAAGCGACTATATTTAACCGATAAAAGAAGCAGCAGAAGTTGATAACGTATAGTCTTTTCTCTAAAAGGCTGAAACCTTCTATTAACAGCAAAAAGGAGGACAAACCGAAGGAGAAGAGGAAAAAGAAGGAGAAGCCCAATGACTCCCAGGAAATAGCTCTTAAGAACTTTAAATCACAGGAATAATGCAGATTTTAAGACGGACGGAGGCTGTTCTGAGCAGGCTAGGCCGTTCTTCGCCCAGATGGACACACAAGAGGAGAGAAAACCAAGGAAGAACGGACATAACAAGGAGATTCGTGAACACTTGGTCTCCTTTGGCCTCGGCTTTCAACGCGAAACCGAATAAGCTGTTGAGTCTTCACTTCACGAAGGGGGCGACGGTAAGCGGGGTTGCTAAGGGGGTTTGGGGTTATTTTGGGGTGGTTTTAGGGGCAGAATAGTGTTATGTGGCTCAGGGTTTTGGGTGGCAAGAGTGTGTTTGTCTTACCAGCTGATAGATCAGTAGATTTATCATTCCAAGCTCTATCTTATCAGAGTGTATATGGTTGAGGTTTGTTGTCCTTTGCAGGAGCATGTAGAATGGAGACCACACTAATCTGCTGATGTTATTATGCTCTGGACAACTGCCACAATTTTTTTTATAATGCAGCATAGTCTAATCACAATAGAGCATTACCTAGCTGATGGAAAAGGGGACTTGGCTATGCCCTCTTTACAAGAACCTCTATATGGAAATATACAATGAAGGAATGTGTGAAAAGACATGGAAATGTAGCTTTGGAAGGAAATATATATTTGAGAAAAAGAAAGATGGTTCATGGAATTTATTGTCATTATCCTGAGTATCCCATATTACTGTTCATTGATATCAGTATTCCTCTTTTTTTATTTATATACTTGTATTTCTCCTTACTTATTCTTTGATTTTTTTCCCCTTGATCTAAGACATTTTCCATGAATAATTGTCTTTGTTTAATTTCTCCATCAAGTTCCAAGACTGTGTAATAAAATTAATCAGTCAAATTATTGTTCAGATGAAATCACAGGTGCCTTTATTGGAGGAGATGATTTATTATTTCAGTAATTTGTGTCATTCAGGTAGGCATTGTTATCATTAGTAGCAGTTATAGTAGTTTGATATCATTTTGTTTTATGTAAAGTTACTTTATTCTCATTTTCTATTCTTTTTCAGGGCTTGTTTGGCCTCCCAGAGCTGAATGAACCTGAAGGTTTCTATTTGCTCAAGGAAAATGCAGTACGTGAAGCAGAGTCTTTGGTGGCCGAGTGCTGCTCTCCAGAAAGATCACGTAAAATGGTGGAGGTAGGAAGTTGATTTTGATATGGACGCACTGTTATTAATTATTCTAGAAAGCTGTGAAATGACAATAGTAATTCTAACATAAGAAAGATTGTATCAGCAAAGTAATTTTACCTGGATATACTATGCAAGGGAAAAGTGTCTGTGTTAGTCTATTGCCCCAGGAAACCATTCACAGCCATGGTTGGTTGGTTAGTTGGGTGGTTGGGGGTCCCCAGGCTACCCCTTTATAAGAAGCTGTCAATGTGCATGTAGGTGACCACTCTCATCTGCACACTCCATAAGTGGTGGGAGAATGTTATGCTGTGGCATTGTCTGTCAACTTTCCAGACTGCACACTCATCGAGGGAGTTCATCATTGTGTGGGTGGATGAAAAGTTGGTTCTGAGGGTGTTATCTAGTCTATTTCTAGCCTATGAGTTGAGTGAGAGGTGTTGATGAAAGGCATGTGGGTGAGTGCTCAAGGCAATGTGTTTCTGTAAAGTGAAGGCAGTGAATGACCAAGTATATTTTATGTGCCTCTATGTAGCAAAGCTTATTTGATGTAGTGTTTATGTAAGTGTTTTGTTGATAGGGTTGTATGTATAATATCCTTGGGTTAATTGTAGCTGTGTTGATATAGAGACACATGGGCAAAAAATGACTTCCAACTCTAGCTAGCCAAGCAAGAAATTCTAGGTCTAGAAATTTATATTCGATATTTTAGAATTGACATTCAATTTCTCTGAAGTTTATTTTCTATTCTTAGTAGACAGTGATTATAGATGGCCATGACTACATGATTACAAATTGCCATCTAGAAATAAGGAGTGTTGAAATTTATGTTCTCTATATGTTCTATGAGTGTACTGTGTTGCATGTTGACTTCTCATGTCATGAAACAATGATACTCATGGTTATTGACTAAGGTCAAGTCACTTTGTTAAATTTACTCTTTTTAGAATATATATGAAGGAATTTTTACACTAAGTCTCACAGCACCAGTGTTAAGAAATTTAGAAAAACTGCTAAAGGGCTCAAGTTCTTAATTACTCTAGCTGTATAAGGAAAGTAGAAAGATTGATGATAAGAACTATGTTGGTATCTAATATGGCATTTAGCTTAGATGTAAGAGCAGGTGGGACAGGTGTGCCTGAATCTCTTCTTTTTATTGGTGTATTATTCATCAACTTTATCTTTTATTTTTTCCAGGTCTTTGACCACCTTTCTGACACTCTCTGTCGTGTTGCTGATTTGGCTGAGTTTATCCGCATGGCACACCCTCAGGCCCGCTACTCCCATGCTGCAGAGGATGCAAGCATCGCCATAGGTGGACTTGTTGAACAGTAAGTCCAGGGCAGATTTTTCTCTTGTTATTCAAAAGTTTCCTTTATCCCCCTCTTTAATCCTTACCTCTTTCTTTTAATCTAGAGGTAATGATTTTATAATGAACGAATACTATATCCTCATTCCTCTCCATATCTCAATACAGATTTCCTTCTTATCTGATCCAGGTTAAATACTCACCGACAATTATATGATAGTCTGAGGGAGGTTGTAAAGAACGGTGACATTTTCCCAACCACAGATGTTGATAGGCATGTGGCCAAGCTCTTCCTCTTCGACTTTGAGCAGTCAGGTTGGTTTTCTCCTTTTGGTATAGGGTTAGCTTAGGCTTACTTCATAGATATAAGAAGAATGATAAAGATTTGTGGTATTGTTTATCATTGTGATTAGATTATGTTTAATATTTTTCTCTTTGATACATGTTTATCCATACAACAGACACATGCATACATATATATTCATTATCTAACCCAGCTCTTTCCAAACTTCATTCCCTATTTCATCCCCTCACAGGTATCCACTTGGACGAGGCCAAGCGATGCCGTGTGGTATCCCTGAACGAGGCCATCCTCACCCTCGGGCAGCACTTCATGAATGGCTCCCTCCAGTCCCGAGCAATTCCCAAGAAGAAGCTGCCCGAGTCCATCCGCCAGCAGTAAGTCCTTAGAAATTGGGGTGTCAGTGGCTATATTCGAAAAGTGTATGGATGTGTAGATTATTTTTATGGACTATATGATGAAAAAAAAAAATCTTTCTCTCTTCTGCTTCTTGTTATGGCAGGCAATTATGGGAAGTTTATAAGTGTTCTTTTTTTGTTGTTGTTTTTTTTCCCTAGGATTACAAATCAAACATATGTAAGTCAGTAGTTTTTCTTCTTCTTCTTTCTTCTTTCTTTTTTCAGTGCACAACAGTGAAAGAAAACGTTTTCATAGCAGATGTTTTCTTTCTCATTAGACTTCAAAACTGTCATTTCACTTTTTGTACGAGCATATTCAGATTTTTGCTTGTGTTTGTTCTGTCCTTAAGCACAGTGTGTTCTGATATGAGGTTGATAATAACATTCTATCCGATATCATAGTGTTTTATGATAACTTGCTTAAATATTCATATGCTCCTTCCCATCTTTGCTGAACAGCTTTGCCATAGATGGGGACAACATAGTGGTAACAGGCCTGTATGCAGATGCCCACATGGAGATCACAAGGGAGGCGGCGTACAAGATCTTCCTACACCCAGACCAGCACCAGGAGTACCTTCTGACAGAGCTGCTCACCAGACGGCACGAGATGGCCACCATATGCGGCTTCAAATCATATGCCCACAGGTTAGTGTTGTGTTAGGGATGGCGAGATTGACTGGAACACTTATGAAAATGGTATTATATGTTAGAATTTATATGTAAATAGTTATTATATTGTGAGCTAGGATTATGAGGAGTTTGAATGTCTTTTTTATACACCTTTTTCTGATGTGTATTAGTGTTATTTTTGGTAGCTGTGGCATATATATATAGTGGCACCAATGCTTGAAGGACCATTTAGGCCATTCTCCATTTCTTCCACTTTTTAGCTATTTATATTTGATTTTATTGTTGGTAAATTTCCTTAGAATTTTTATTACTTGAAATGTAAATTTTTCTTTCTTTCTTCTTTTCTCTATGGTTTTGTATATAAATGATATTTCCAAAATCATATCATTATCAAATAATATCATTATTATTATATTATGATTAACTGTCTGATAGTCATGTCCACTCCCTTTCCCAGAGCCGTCAACAGCAGCTTAGCCGAGTCTCCCGACCTCGTGCTGAACTTCTTGAAATTGGTGTCAAAAGAGGTGAGGCCCTTAGCCAAGGAGGACTTCAGGGAGATGGAGAAGATGAAGAAAGAACAATACAGATACTCGAGGGTAAGCCATCATCATTGTTGTTTCTTTTTTACCCATTATTTAGAAAACTTGTTCCAAAGTTTGTTTTTCTTTCTTTCGTTCTTTTTTCTTTTCTTTTCTTTTTTTAAGCTGAAAAAATTCAACTTAGATGTCCTAAAGAACACAGGACTGTAGTTTACTGTATGTTTGTTTGTTTGTTTGTTTTAAGAATAAGTCAATAGATTTATTTTGACTATTACAGTTATCATATCAACACTACCCTCCTGGAAGTAAAAGGAACAAATAGACCAGTTTATAAGTCAATTAATAGTAAGTGATAAATGATAGACAAATAAGATAACACAAATAACAGCAGTGAATGAATATCTAAATAAATAGGATATATATGATATTTCAGATTAAAGGAAACTCTTAATGTTAAAACAAAATGCTTTTACAGGACCTAGCTCCCTGGGATGTGCCTTACTTCACCGGCCAGGCAAGGCAGAGTAAATTCTCCATGAGCGGAGGTGATCTCGCACCGTACTTCTCTTTAGGGGCAGTCATGGACGGGCTCAGCAGCCTGCTTCGGAATCTGTATAACGTCTCTCTCAAAGTGCAGGAGCCGTTACCTGGGGAACTTTGGACCAACGATGTCTATAATAAGCTCTGGTGGGTATGTGTGTGTGTGTGTGTGTGTGTGTCTGTGTGTGTGTGTGTGTCTGTGTGTCTGTCTGTCTGTCTGTGCATGCATAGGTAGAATGTGAAATATATTTAAAAAGTATTATTAAAAGAGGTTATTTGTTACAAAATATTGATTTGTGTTCTCACAATATTTGTGAATTACACTGATTTAATTTTTGAAACCTTATCATTACTCACTTATTGATCAATCTACTTATCTACATGTAGTAACACTGCAAAAACTCAGATGATAGTAACCGTCCTTTCCCTCAAATCATCTCCTTAAAACCACCCCTGCAATGCGAAATCAACACCCCTTTCCTCACTCAAACTCTTACCGCTCTCACTTCCTCAGTAATGCACGAAATGGAAGGCCTCTTGGGCTACATCTACTGCGACTTCTACGAGCGCATCGGCAAGGCCCACCAGGACTGCCATTTCACCATTAGGGGCGGGAAGCTGCTCCCTGATGGATCATATCAAGTAAGTGCGCCAAAGAGTATATACATGTAAGTAGTGTAATATATATTTTTGGTGACTGACTAATATATAATTAGGCTTTGTATAGGAATATTGTTTGTGCTCTATTCAAGATTCTTTTTTTTTTTTTTTTTTTTTTTTTTTGTGGGATGTGTTAATGTTGTTATTGTCATTATTGTTATGGTTATTTTTGTTTTTTGCTGTTATTATTATTGATATTATCGTTATTATTATTGTTGTTTTTATTTCCACTGTTGTTATGAGATGTTTAAAATCATAAATTTTGGAAGTGTTTCCATATCATCAGTAAACTGTCACAGCTAAAATATTTTAAGATATGTATGATAGTCTAATTGTAGCTTGTATTATTGTATGTTTATTTTGTTGTACTTATTTTTGCTGTTATTGTCATTTTAGGATGTGATTGCTGTCATTGTCATTGATATTACTGGATGTTATTGTGGTTCTTACCAGTATAGTTATGATTATTGATATTGCAGATATGATTTAGCTTTTATGATTGTTATTATATAATCTTGTTGTATTTCTTCTCATTATTATTAGTAGTAGTGTAATTGTTATAATGATTATCAATATTGTTATCATCATTATTATTTTGATTACATTTATAAGGATTATCATTATTATAATTACATTTATGATGATTATCATCATTATCATCCTCACTCTTGTCCCTCCAGGATCCTATTGTGGTTCTCCACCTGAACCTGCCTGCTCCCACCTGGTCAACGCCCTCTCTGCTCACGCCCGGCATGGTCGAGAATCTGTTCCACGAGATGGGTCATGCTTTGCACTCCATGCTGGCAAGGTCAGAAGGGCTGGTTTCTGTGTGTGTGTGTGTGTATGTGTGTGTGTTTCTGCCTATTTGTTATTAAAACATTGTTTTCTGTACTTAAAAAAAAAAAAAAAAAAATTCTTATTGCTATTTCTGGTTGAGTATCATTAGTAACTATACTCTTTATTACAATAATTATTTTATATGGTCTTTTTATTATTATCATCATCAATATTATCATTATCATTCCCATAACATATCCACTCCACAGAACACAGTATCAGCATGTAACGGGAACACGCTGCAGCACAGATTTTGCAGAAGTTCCCTCGATCCTGATGGAGTTTTTTGCCATGGACCCCAGAGTCCTGCGCACTTATGCCCGCCATTACAAGACGGGAGAGCCCATCCCTGACAAACTGCTTGAGAAATTGGTTGCATCTAAGTCTGTGTTCGCTGCCTCAGAAATGCAGCTGCAGGTATAGTGTTGTTGCGTGTGTTAAAGATCTGAATGTGTGATTAGTGAAAGGATTCGTACCTCTGATTATTTCTTGTCCGAATTTTAGGTGTTAGAGTGGTATTAAATTGTGAGAACAATCCTAATCTGTGGTGCTGGTTCTGGTTACTTTCTGGTACAGCCATCACAAAATCTGATGCAGATTTCAATGCAGTTTTGGAATTCCTGATATTCAGGTTCTGTAAAGTGTTAGTTGGCAATAGTATTCTGAATTTATTTACAGGGATTAAGTTTGAATGCATTAATTTTATGTAGTAGAAAGTTTTGTGGTATGTTGCTTAGTGCACTAGAATTGTATCTTATTTTAATATTCCTTTGTATCATTTTTTTTTATCAGTCTACTTCTCTGTCAATCTATATTTGCATGTAGTGAATAGCTGTAAAAACTTGGTTAATATGTCTTTACATTTTTATTTATATTTGTTTAAAGGGAAAAGTAGGAATTACACATATTTTAATCTATTTTGCAACAAAAGGATATATCCAAATACATTATTTTGCAACAAAATGATGATCAGGTATTTTCACTTTTCTGTCTTTATGATTAGCATTTCAACAAAAACAAAAAAAGTTTATAATAAAACTTATTTTCCAGACCTTCTACTCTATGCTCGACCAGCGTTACCACAGTGAAGAACGATGGGATTCAACTACAACCACAACACAGATATTAGAGAAAGTGCAGAATGAATATTATGGGCTTCCATATGTCCCCAATACTGTTAGTAAACTTTGTCTCCTTTACTTATTGTGTATCGTATTGTATGGATTGGGCCAGAATTTGTTTTCTTGTATCGTACTTATTTGACTTCCTTTTTGGGGATTTTTTTTTATCTCTATCAGTAGAAGTGATTATGCAGTGGACCTGCATTAATCTAAAGGAACTTGTTGATTCAGTTATACGTGTTTTAGGTGTGTTTTCACTCTTAAACTTTTGCAGAAATGGTAAGGAACTTTAACAGATTTTTTTATTATTATTATTCAGGCTTGGCAACTGAGGTTCGGTCACCTTGTTGGCTATGGAGCAAAATACTACGCTTATCTGGTGTCTCGTGCCGTGGCCTCCTGGATCTGGCAGAAGTATTTTGTGGACAATCCATTCAGCAGGTGAGTTGGTTTGCTACAGGTGTGTAGTCTCTGTTTTCATTAAGTGATTTATGTTACTTGCCTTTGACTTAATTATATATACAAGTGTGTGTGAGTGAGTGAGTGTGTGTCAGTGGGTGTGTGGGTGTTTGTATTTGTGTGGGTTGGTGGATGTGTGGATTAAAAGAAAGTTTTGTAATCAGTTAGTATGACACAACCATGATAACTATTTATTCTTCACTCCATAGGGAAATGGGTGAGAAATATCGCCGGGAAGTGCTAGCTCATGGCGGAGGGAAACCCCCACGAGCGATGGTGGGAGAGTTCCTTGGCCGAGAGGTGACGGCAGAGAGCATGGTAGAGGCTCTTAGGACAGATTTGGAGTCAAAGAAAGAGAGGGTGGAGACAACCACTGCAAAGTAGGATGTGCTCTTCCGATATCTGGGGTATTAGAAATGAGGTCTGAAGCATCAAAGATTGAGGTGTCTGGAAAGAGGGTGTAATATTTGGATAATCCAATACAGAGAGAGGAGTATTTAGAGAGACTATTTTTTCAGAGTAAATGAAGACACTAATAAGATAATTTAGTTGTCTATCAATATGTGCAAAAGTAATTTACAGAGCAATAAGGTTGTTTTTATGTGATGTGTGAGTTTTACTGTGTTAGGTGCTGTTTCATTAAGATGAAAATCAAGCAGTTTAAGAAACTTACTTAAAGTATCTATAGAATTTAAAACTACAGACTTAACTCAAGGATGCTACCTTTCGTTGTCACTCTCTCCATTGCATTATTATTGTAATAGTCTATCCTATGAATCTGTGTGGGATGAGGACTTTTTTTTGTCATTTATTTTATCTGAATTAATTTTCTCAGGGATATGTTTGTGAGATTATTCAGACAGTACCAGTCTGGTCTGTTTCAAACATGGTGAAAATGCAGTTTGGTAATGTAGTTCATTTTATTTTTTTTTTTTTTTTTTTTTTTTTTTTTTTTTTTTTTTTTTTTTGATAGCAAATATTTGTAATAATTATATCTCTTCTACCTAATCAATATGATAAATGGTATTCCTAGTTGTAAATGATGGAAAGAAATATGAAATATTGTACTATAAGATGAGACAGAATGTTGCTAGGTTTTATATTTTACTTAAAAATGGTGCTTATATACCTGTTCAATTATTATTATTGATAACGGTATTGTGATTTGGTACATTTGTTATATTGTGTATATAAAATATATATTTCTCAAAAAAA